CCAGAAGCAGCACAGCGCTGGGAAACACACTTCGTCACGATGCAGCGCATCTCGTGATAATTAGCAACCAAAAAGTCCTCTTCGCGATCCACGTGATTCATTGTGCAGCGAAGTAGATCGTTTTTAACCCGTACGTAAGCTGGTAGCCGCTCTACAAAGTCCTCATATAAATCTTTGTCTCCTGTCCTCCATAGTTCTCGCCACGGCCTGCGCTTACGGCGTCGGACATTATCCTGCTCCATGTACGACCTCCGTTGACAGAATGCTCACAAACGTAGATTTATTGTGTATTTTTAAAAGAGTCCAGGGGTTTCCATTTCTTAGAGATAGTTGCCATTCTATTAGTTTTATTGGCCTTTGCCCTTCAAATGGTGAGGACCCTCTCATTTTGAGTTAGTGAGATTTATCTTTTTTACAGTGCTGATGCTGATTGTTTTTGTGCAGACTTCCCCTTCCCATTCCTTAGTGATGGATCCAAAATCTTTAGTAGCCAGGACGGCTCTCGTGTCATCCGGTTCGCTTTCAATGACTTATTCATGTTTTTTTAAGTTATGCCTTGGTAAAAACGTACTAAGGGGCTGGTTTGGCTGGCCGGTTCTGGTTCCCGGTCTCGTTTCACCGCAAGACCACGAAACCAAGAGGGGTAGGGTACCCAACTACTGGTTCTCTAGCCTCACCTCTTGTCTCAGTTTACAAAGTGATCGATGGCAACGCTGCCTCCCGCCAGAATCAAGGGATAGCGCTTGCATCCAGCGCTGCCTCAGATGGCGATTCGGCTTCCAGACGAGCACCAGACCGTACCTGTAGACCTGCAGCTACAGACGGCATGCCAATCACCGAAGCATTCGCCACTTAAGCAAAAGAAAGACAAGCGCTCTACTGGGAAGGAAACATGTGTGCTTGAATGGAGCGAGGAGATGGTGCAAGATCTAATGCATCAGCGACAACTGTAGCACAAGTCTCCATAGCCAAAATAATAGAAGATGGAGGTGGTGGCATAGCTAAGAGCTTGATATTGAGAACTGTGCTCCCAGCCCCGAAGACTGACAACCACACTTGGTGGGTGGTCCTCGAGTTTCGGTAACACGTCTAGCCTCGACGTATTTGACCAGTCAGCGATATCTATAAACCTAAACATCAAATAAGAACTCGATCGAGAACCATAATTGACCACCCAAACCAGCCACTAAAAGGCTAGCTGTTTTACGCGCTAGCTAACTGTTAGTTAGTGTCTTGTATTTTTATCTAACATGTTAGTAGCATTTTTTAGGTATACATGTTGTTACCTTGTGTATCGAGATGCATGATAAACACGATAATCTGTGTAGGCCGAATCTACACCTTTAACCAGTCGTTCTTTTCAAATGTATAATTCAAAACGACGCGCCTAAAAATAGTCCGCTATGCATGTCCGTCTGGGCCCAATTTTTATTAATAACAACCAGGCTACATAATATTATGAAGGCGACGATACAGCTATATTATTAAAATAATCCGAAATTACAGCTGGACATTGTCCTAAATTTTTAGCACTCACCGCTGCTCGAGCACTAGAGCAAGCTACTGAAGTTAAAGTCCAGCCACCAGATTCGCCCGCTTTGCCACCAACCCACCTCAAACGTCGATTCCTGGCGATGATGGCTCGGAATTAGCCCATACTTAAAAACTAGCGAATGTCAACATTTTGTTTTCAGATGCTACATCTAACGAAGCTGAGTCTCACACACAAAAATACCAGAAGAAGGCCCCGGATATTATCAAGCCGAGAGTATTTAGGCTCGTAAAGCTGTTACTTACCATCTGATCTATTTGGTAAAGAGGTACGGGTGGAAGGGATTGACATGGGAGCCGACACACCACTTTCCAGCACAGATGATTGCTGATTTTGAGAGAGAAGAATCTCGAGAAACTTGACCAAGCTGCGTTACAATTCCTTGTTAGAAAAAACGACGCCCGCATTGGTACTTGTACAAACTGCAACTCCTGATACGAGTTCAGGGCGATGGAGACGTCAGCAGAACCGACTCGTAGATGATAGCACCTGGCGACAACATCGGTAGTCTGATGACGCTGCAAGTTCAACCTGAAAGAAGTAGTCGGAAAGCAACTCACACTTTTTGAAAGTGCCAAATACAAAGCACATTGTTTTCGAGGTTATTAACATTCCTGGTGGTCGTTCGAGAGGCAGAACGACGTGAAAGGATCGGAGAAAATAGATGGGAAGAAAAAGAAAAGCAAACTCCGACCGATTCACGTGCAGTCATGCTCTCCAGTCTCTTGATGATGGCGGATTCGCCTTCCCTCATTGGGATGAGATCCGCATGGCCCAGCAGCAACACCACGCGCGCGTTGGATCGGCACAAGACTCCGAGTACGTCCTGCGGGCTGACCAGAAGATATGAATCTCCAGAGCTTGCACAGAGCCACAGAGAGACTTGTACATCGCTTCAACTTGACCGTTGTCACAGACTGCCCAGTCCATCTAGACAACATTTTTGCCCACGCGTTCGCCACACCATTAACGTGCTCGATACATTAGCGATAGGGCATCAGTTTGAGAACCCATTGAAGCAGTGATATGCCCTTGGTTCGCAGAGGGGCTTTGAAGGTAAAAAGAAGACTATTTTTTAGGTTTGAAGGTTTTGTGTCTTGTTCCCCGCCTGGGCGACAAGTGCCTAGAATGAACAGAAATAAATATACTTCAGCTGCTACGTTGGCGGTCAGCATCAATATGCCGACATCCTTTTCACTCACCCCCATGCTGATTGCCATTTAGCATGGAAATAGTCTGCGAATGCTCACCTGATGTTGTGTCGCTCCTTGGTCCAGGTAGCAGTCCCGTTATCATGCACCTCCACAATTGTGAATGGTCCATTGGCTACATTTATGTGCTTGGTTTTGCGATCCTTGACCAGAATGCGAATAATCACATGGTCACCTACTTGATAGACGTGCTGCAGTCGTGACGTGTTCTCCCTATCAATCTCTCAATCCCCGACCAGTAAAACACAGCACGCATGGTGTAGAACTGTTTTTTGGCTCCCGGGTGCACCAAATTTTAGTAATACCACTCCACAATTTTAGTACGTTGTGCCTTCGGAATCACCACTCGTTTCTGGAACGTCAACAATCTCACCCCCATTGTATTCTCAATACGATAGTCTGGGTCACCCGTGCTGCATTTCTGGGTTACCGTCTGTACCAACTCGTTCATTTGTTGATACTGCTTGATGTACTCTCCTTCCAGGATACACTTCTCTTGCTCAATGAACATAGCCCCCGAAAGCTCATCATTGCACTCGTTTGACGTAACCTAGCACTCCATGCGTGAAAATGCATCTGCTGCGACGTTACTCTTTCCGTGTATGAATTTACATGCTAGTCGGTACTCGGACAGCAAGAGCTTCCACCGTTTCACCAATAGTGAATTCTCCGTACGGTAGATCAGATTTTTGTGATCGGTGTGCACAACGACCGGGAATCCCAGGAGCATCGATCTGTACGCTTTGAGAATTTCCACAACCGATAGTAGCTCAAGCTCCATAGTCGAATAGTTTTGCTGTGCTTTCGTGAGGGCTCTCGAGAAGCATGCTATCAGCTTGCCATCTTGTTGGATTAACCCACCTAGTTGTTTGCCGCTGGCATCCGCGTAATTTCGAAGGGCATTGAGAAGTCAGGAAATGATAATAGTACAGCTTCAGCAAAAATCTTTCTTTATACTCTCAAATGCGTCATTCTCAGTAGACGTCCACACGAACTTCGCTTTTGGCGAGGCCATCTTTGTGAGTGGTTTCAGCAATGCGGACTTGTTTGGAATCATCTCCATGTAATATTTGATTAGTCCTAGAAGTTGTCTTAGTTGGTGCTTCGGTTTTGGTGCCTTCAGACGAGTGATCGCATTGATCTTCTTCTCATGTGGCTGCACACCGTCCGCGTTCAATTAATACCCAAATACTCCACTGATTTACAGACGAGGACACTTTAATATGACGGACACTAATGAATGACACGAGGTTTTTTGTCAATAATTTCAGCCAATAGAATGTCAAAAACAATATTGTGGCCATGAGCTCACTTCGAATCGTGCCATGGAAGAGCTCGAGCTGCGAATGCTCCAGTGGGATATCCGCGATGGTGCCGGAGCTGCCGGCGACGAGGATGACGCTGCTGAAAGCGACAGTAGCGGTGGCGGTGAGGTGATCTATCAGCTGAATCTACCATCAAAAGGTCGTCGTAGCACGTATTCAAACGAACTAAAGCTTCGAGTCGTTGAGAAAGTTAAAGCAGGCGGCAAAGTCGCTGCTGTAGCTGCTTCCAATGACGTGCACACTCGCACAGCTGTGTACGAGTGGATAAAGAACGAGGATAGACTTAGAGAAGCGTGTGCTAACAAAAAGAGCTCCAAGACCACGTTAGGGGGCCAGGGCCGTCACTGCGTTACCCCATACGCAGATGAGCTCATACAGTGGATTAAAGCCATGCGTCGTGATGATTTTGCACTAAAAACTAACCACTGTGTTGCTTTTGTCAAGGAAGAATACAGCTCATGGGCTTCGGACTATTTGCTGACGCGTCAAGAGGACAGTCTACGACGTGCAATCCGTCGCGTAGCACTGAGTCGCGGCTTTTCGTTTCGTCGGGCCACCAAAACTATCATATCGACCCAAGAGCTGCTCGCAGAGCAGCAGCGCTTTTCGGCAGAGGTTGGCGCCGAAATCAAGAAGGCGTACCAGCGAGAGTGCGTCTTCAATGCTGACGAAACCACGGTCTACTACGAGGAAGACCCCGGCATCATCCTTGCCGAGCGCGGCCAAAGCAAGTCCGCGCGGGTCAAAGGACGCCGCCGTTCGGATAGAGCGAGTGTGCTGCTCACCGTTTCCGCGGCAGGAAAAAAGCTAAAGCCGCTAGTCATTTTCCGCGGCCAGCCAGGCGGCACAATTGAACGTGATATGACGGCATACTCGAACTAAGTCCTTGTAACCGTCCAACAAAATGGTTGGATGGATACAAGGGTTTGGAACGAAACGTTTATCAACGGTCAGTGGGCAGAATTTGTTTGTGACGAATTCCCAGACCCTCTAGCCATCTACGTCGACAATCTGAAGTGCCATGTGTCCGAGACCGCGCAGGAAGCATTCGCGTCGTGGGGGACAGAGCTCGTGCCTCTACCAAAAAAAACTACTGCTGTACTACAACCTCTGGACGTGGGCATCATGGGCCCGTTCAAGAAGAAGCTACGCTCGCTGACGCTATCCTACAACTTAACCTCCATCCAGAGGAATGGGTCCCTGCCTCTGCGGGAGAGGCTGCTGGCGCTCAAGCGCATGTCTGCAGATGAGAAGAGAAAGCTGCTTGTAGACAGGGTAGTGACAGCGTGGGCGGCCATCGACGAGCGCTGCATCAAGCGGGCTTGGGAGAAAGCTGGACTGTAATACATCTTTACAGTTGATTGGATAAAAATATTAGGATTTGAAAGCATAGATAACGAAAAACCAAAAGTGTCATATTAAAGTGTCCTCGTCTGTACAGAAAATGTGGCATTTTTTTCGTTGAGCGTCACATTGTACTTTTTTAGCCGTGTAAGTACCACGCGCAAATGCTCCTCGGCTGTCTTTGAGAATACCAATATGTCGTCCAGGTACACGATGACAAAGTCCAACCCACCTAGAATCTTCATCATGCAGGCTTGGTACTCATCGGGTGCGGTCGAGATTCCCGTTGTAACCTCTTATTCTGATATTTCCCCAGGGCATACAAAGTGCTGTGTACTTTCGGCTCTCCTTCGTCAGTTGCCTCGCATAATAACCCATATTTGCATCCAGTGATGAGAAGTACTTAGCCCTCCCAATCTAGTGAGAACTTCACGTATCAGTGGGGCATAGTACGGATGTCGCCTCAGGAACCGGTTAGGTGCACGTAAATCGGTCAATAAACGCAGTTTACCATCCGGTTTCTTAAAGAAGAACGCTGGTGACGCCATCTCGGAGTCAAAAATTTGCTCGAGAACATCGAGTGAAAGAAGCCTGTGCTTTTCTTTCCGAGCTCTGTCTTGTTCACTCCTTGGAACTGAGTAGGGTCGTGCGTGCACAGGCGTGAGCGGTTCAACAATAGGCAGGACGTAGTCCGGAAATTTCATCCTCCCCAAATGTCAGTTATACAACATCTCGAAGTACGTAAGCAGTTCGACCACGTAGTTTTGTCGATCTCCGCATCATCAATCAGCTCTGTCGGCTTGACCGATGTGCCGTTTATGTCCTTCACTTCATCTGGTATCTCAACCTCTTTTAACTCTACGGGCATTTTCCTTTTTGGTTCCTTGTCCGGAGTGATCGACGCAACGCCCGCATTTACTTTGACTATGTTACCATTCTACTACATCTGACCGTCTCTGACGCTCACTATAATACCAAGGGCGCTCAGTAAGTCACGACCTATGACCATCTCGTCCTTAGTGGTGTTGATCACTTTGAGCTAGTGCGTGATTCTGGGACCGTGATTCAGGCTCAGGCAGAAATCTAAACTTTACAATCATGCTTCCGTCCGACTCAATCTTACCGTCAACTTTTTTTAAGGTCATGAACGATGAGCTCTTCTCGAAGCCCAACTTCTGGCTTACCATCGCAAGCTTGGCGTTAATGTAGCTGGTACACTTTCAGTATCCAATAGAGCTACTCGTCGCTCCTTCGTCTGCGATAGACGTATTCCAAGTCGCATCGGTCTTATTGTACTAACCGCAGATTCCTTAAGAACGCTAGGTATTACATTACTTTTACTATCGTCACTGTAGCTGTAGTCCGACTCTGAGTCGTCCACATGCGTCAACTTACTGGTCTCGGACTTCTTTGTCGTTGCCTTCTGATTGAAGTTACCCTTGGTGCTCTTCTTCTGAATTAAACACTCTTGATCACTATGTGAAACAGACTTGTGCAGCTTACACCACTTGCCATTGTTGTCTGTCTGACCGCTACTCGACGCCTTATTCGACCTGTTGTATTTCGACTTAGGTTGGTTATCACTCTTGCGACTATGGTAATCACTCGACTTGTTCGGCTTGCTCATCCTCTGCTTGTCTTTCTGTCTCCTTGCCTTCACGGAGCTCAGATTGTTCGAGTCGTTCAAGTACTGCACTGCATGTGGCATACTGCTAAATGTCATGCCACTTTACTCTTAAGCGCGCCGCCATTCGCTCGGCATCGAACGTTTAAAGTATCTTATCATGGACTTGTCGTCCAAATGCATGGGATTCATCGGCAGCTCTCGCAGCATGTGAGTGATCTCCCGCATTCTCTGATTGCACTACGGCGCTTGGCGAACAGGAAAGCGTCCTTCTCCAACTGCTCGTTGTAAGTCCTCGAAACGTACGTACGACCCCAGCACGCGTACGCCTTCGTGAATTGGGTCACGCTTGTCATGTCTTTGTCCTCCGATGCCACCTGCCACGCTTCCAGTGCTTCATTCTCCAGCACTAACTGTAGAATCATGTCTTTCTCGTCGGGGCTCCATTTCTTAAGCTGACATAGACGCACGAGCTTATGGCTCCACTTTAGCCAGTCTTGAGCGGTACCGCCACTGAAGCGTGGTAACGTTATTTTCACGTACTCACGTTCAATTTCGTCTGTCTGCTCCCTTGTTGTCACCTGGAACACCACGCCCTTCTCCGTGTGGTTCGTGTCCTCCATGATGTATTTGCTGGTCTTCACCAGTTGCTATGGTCCTTCCTCTTTGAACTAGTTCCAAGTGATATGCCCTTGATTCGCAGAGGGGCTTTGAAGGTAAAAAGAAGACTGATATTTATGTTTGTAGGTTTTGTGTCTTGTCCCCGCCTGGGCGACAAGTGCCTAGAAAGTTTAGAAATAAAGGTACTTTAACTGCTACGTTGGCGTAGCTTGCCTCTGATAGCTTTATTTACACTCCGCACAAACAATTTTAAAAAAAAAAGTGGAAGGCTCTTACCTTTTGGGTCTAATTTTGGTCCTAACTTCTTTCTATTTCTAACGCTAGTACCGGCATCCTCCGTTCTTTACTGACGGTCGCTTATTACTGACAAACGATTTTAGCCAATCAAATACCGCTACCGCAGTCCCTCACTCGTAACTGACAACACATAAAATGGGGACGGGAAAACATCAATCGGCTGTGCGCCACTCACTTCTCAAGATGCCACCGGGGCGCCACCGCGCCTCTGTTACTGCAGCCGAAAAGCTAGCAGCGCTCGATGCCTGGCGGCAGTGCGGCAACATCAATGCTGTTATGGCAGCTTTCTATAGTGATCTAGATGCGTTTGCGCAAGAGCAGCGACGCAAGCTGCTGTATCAGTGACGCGATAAGCGCAAAAGTATCGAATTAGCGTGCAAGACGGCTCGAGGACGATCCAAGAAGAAGGCTCGGCAGCTCGGCACAGGTACTGCCCTCACCGCCGAGGCTGAGGAGGAATTGGTAGCCTGGGTGAACGAGTTGCGGGGGGAGGGAGTACCTATTTCCTCCGTGATGCTGCATTGGCTAGCTTTAGTCTTGTAGATGGTAGAATCGGCATGGTAGCTGGCGAGCACGACACCATTGACGAGCTGCTCGAATAATCAATGCACTTTCTCGTGATTCACAACGCGCGGCAAACATCACCTTTTTTACCCTTGTTTTGTACCCAAACATGCTTGTCAGTAAAAAGCGGAGGATGCCGGTAGTTACAGTAGACGGATTAAAAAAAGAGAGGCGTTATTGTGCCGGACAAAAAATGCAAAATATTAATTGTCGAGGGAATTTTGAGTCCCTCGTACAGTTATATTTGTATACTCGTATACTGAGCTTTAGCGCCACTCACGCCACTCGTTTAGAGGGTACTCCATTTGGAGATTAGCGACGGCAGCAATGGATCGGCGCCATCCTGCGCGCGCGTCGAAGAAGCGACCCTCAGAGGAAGCCTACATCGACGGCAGTGAGCATAACGGCCCGGACGCGAGCTGAGGACGACGCCACCGTATCCAGTAGTTCCAGTCCAGAGACTTGGAGTGTTGAGGATTCAAGCGTGAGCGATACGCCTGGCGAGTGAACAAGTGGAGGTACAAGCGGGGATGGATGCACAGAAGTCTGTGCAGAATTAGTTGAACCGCAGTTTCAGTCCTGGGAAGTCTTTCACTCGTATCAGGACGAGTACCAGAAGCAGACTTAGCAGGTAAGGGCATTGTTGACACTATACATGACATTTTGAGGAAATTGAACGGGTTTGAGCAATTTACTGTAGGGTTTTAGAGTGCGATCAACTAAAAGCGTGGCAGAACGGAACAATTTAATCCAGAAGGCCCAGAAGCCGTCTTCAAATCTCATCCCAGAGACATGGTGTACGTACGCAAAGACGCTCATTTGCGCACGAGGCGGCAAGTACAGATACCGTGGCAAAGAGAAGAGATCACGCTAGGAAGTATGCCAGATCGAGCGCAAGGCCCAGGTGCGAGAACTTGACGGTTGGTCACAGTCGGTTATGGATTGGTACAGTATGTCACAATACTATTCAACTGCTAACCTTGCTCATGTGTGTATACAGATAAATGCTTGCGTTCAAGTGGTGAATACATCCCCTCTTGATTTTGCTGGTTGCGTGACTACGACGGCATTATCTCACGACCACGGCTTGGGGTTGCGTACGTGGACGGGTGCAGAGCCATGTGGTGTTCTTTCACGAGACAAAGTGCGGTGAAGTTGGGCAACAACACCAACAACAGACTCGAGGCGTCCTGGAAGAACATGAAGGAGATTGTGAGCTCTTCAATGGTCTTGGATTAGTGTTTGGCTTCAATTTTCTTGTATCAGACTCAATTTGAACAGCTTCTGTACAACCGTGCAACCAAGATTTACCACGTCCATCGCGATGGATATGATAAAAAGATGAATATCGTGTCAAACTTAGTTAGCACGTATGCGAATTAATTCATGAGCTGTACGTGTACGTAACTGGACCGGCTTCCTATTCATTTTACGAGGCAATGCCAGGAATGATCTTTATCAATAATGAGAATGATGCAGAAGAAGGTCTGGACGAACCACGAGCAGAGTACACAATTACCAAGGCAACATGGAAGTGTTCATGTATATTTGCGAGTACGCGGCTAATGCCATGCAGACATGTTTTCTACGTAGGGCAGCAACGAAAATTGGAGACAATTATCCCGACTCAGTGTATCCATACTCATTGGCTGTTGTCTTCGATGAATGAAACACGCCCTACATTGGAGACCGAAAGGAATAGCTGTTCCGTGACTCGGATTGAATCGCTTCCAAAGCTTCCATGGGACTCTAACCGCAAATTTCGACAAGCTAATAGCTTTGCTACCGCTATAACGGAAGCTGTAAGCACGTTGGGAATGGCGGCATAGCGGGAGGCAATTCAGGCGTTAGCGCAAGTATCAACAATGTTTACAGAAAAAAATCAATTGATCAAGGAGCTGTCGTCTATAAGTCCGGTGTCTCAGTCGGTGAGCCAATCGGTGGAGTCAGTACCTCAATCGGTGTCTCAATCGGTGGAGTCTGTAGAGTCGGTACCTCGGTCGGTGGAGTCGGCGTCTCAATCGGTGGAATCTATAGAGTCGGTGCCTCGGTCGGTAGAGTCGGTGTCTTAATCGGTGGATAACTCGGTGGTGCAACTGACTCAAGTTCTTGAATCCGAACCGTTTAATGCGGAATCACCTGGATTCGAGATAGCAAGTCCCTTACGCCCACGAGACCGCCCAATGCAGAAGGCAAAGACTAAGAAAGCGAAGACGAATGTATCCATCCTAATGGCACAAGATGATTCGGTTCTTCACGACAAATGAGTTTTAAAACAATCCAGGTCCTCCTTTCACACGTGTCTACCTACGCATCATGTGCGGAGCCGCTACGCCGATTCCGGCTATTTGTTTTTGATAAGAAGATGGTGCCCCCAATTCCCTACGTGATTTCGTAGCTGCCGGCTAACAAATTATCATGGATTCAGCAGACATTTCTCGTATTTTGACTAACGAGATACTCCAGCGAGCGAGCAAAAAGGTGGTTACCCTACAACAGAAAAAAGCACAATAAATTGCCAGAGCTAGACTTTGCAGTGAATTTTCCTGGTCTATTTGTAATTGGGATGCAGACACTGAGAGCCATGAAACTATGGCACCAAGCAGTCAAAGAGCTTAGCAATATCGAGAGAGTCATAAAATGGATCTCAAAAATTGATTTATCGCTGGATATTTTGCCTGTATTCCGGGTCGAACAAGATGCAGAATTGGCGTCAAAACTAGAAGCAATTCCGATTTTCTCTGAAAGGGTAAGCACTTTGCATATTTTAAGGATAGCAGCAACTGACACTGTGTATGCATATTTTGTAGATTCGGATCGTTGACTTTGCATGCAGATCACTTTTAGTAACACTGCGTTGACAGAGGCAATGACAGAGCTATTCGGTCAACAAGAGAAAGTCATGACTGTTGACCCAGCGATATGGGGTGTCATGGGGAGAGGAAATGTGAGCATTCCAGACGAAGAGCTAAAACGCATGTTCAGCTGTATTACTAAGCGAATTATAATGCTTCCGGTGAGCTGCAACGGCACGCACTCGTGTGGTATCATGGTCGACTCAGCTATGACAACTATCAAGTACTATGATTCCATGAGCAGCAGCTACGCTGGCATCAGCATGAGAGCACTAGCGCACAAGCTTGTGCAACACATGCCAGCTACACCAGGACGTTACAGAGTGGATCCCTATGTTGCGGATGCTGGAATTCAACTACACAGCTACAACTGTGGAGTGTACGTTCTGCTTGCATTCAAAACGTTCTGTAGTGAAGAAAGCACAGGTGAATTGCTAAGAAGGCACTGCAGTACCAGCGCTATCGCTACTTGCAGATGTGCATGTAAAGCAATATACTTTGTTTAACTTTAATTATATAGTTGCTGTCAAACACATTGCATTGGAAACATCACAGAAAGGCTGAATTCGCTCATGAGGTTAAGCTCGACCTTGAAGATGACTTCGCTTTTAGGGTGGCTTCGCTCTAAAAATACAAAGTGCTCATATCCGGATTTTACAGTCTATACAAGAAGGGGGCACAATCGGACACGTAGGTGGTCGGTCGGTCACAAACGGTTCGTCTTCGTACCTTTCAGTCGGTCACAATAACGCCTGCCTTAAAAAAATACATGTAAACTCATCCAAATTTACGTGGTCCACACCTGCCGTGTGCGCTACAATCTAATCCCCCCTCTGTGCCGAGCCAAAAGAGAAGCGAAAGCGTGGGGAAACCCCAGCGTGCTACTTGCAGCCATGGATGCCAATCAACTGCGCGAGCTGGAGACACTGTGCCGCGTGCTTTACGAGAGCGGCAACGAGGTGGAGCGTGCGCACGCGCAACAGGCTGTGCTTATCCTGCAGAGCTCAGCCGAGTACATTCCACAGTGTCAGTATGTGCTGGACAATTCGTCGTCCCCTTACGCGCTTCTCGTAGCCAGCACCAGCCTCACCAAGCTCATCACCTCGCACTGGAACAACTTTACCATACCACAGCGCGTTGATATCCGTATGCAAGCACTTGATGCCATGACCCCCAATTTTGCATCACTTCAACACTAACGTATAATTGTTTCTACCGCGACTAGGTAATTATGTGCTGGGCTACTTGGCCCAGAAGGGGCCAACACTGGAAAAATTCGTGACGACATCGCTAATCCAGATGGTGTGTCGCCTCACTAAGTATGGGTGGTTCGACGATGAGCAGCACCGCGAGATCGTGGCCGAGGTGACCAAGTTTCTGCAGGCTACAGTGGACCACTGCGTTATTGGTCTGCAGATCTTGAGTGAACTCGTCACAGAGATGGATTTACCCGTGGCAGGACGTAACATCACATTCCACCGCAAGATCGCTGTATCTTTTCGAGAGGATTCGCTCTTCCGGATCTTCCAGGTGGCACTTACCTCCATTAAGCAGCTCCAGATGCACAATATTCGAGGCGCCACGCCGCAACAGGAAGCCAGGATGGGTGACCAGGCGCTGTCGCTGCTCATCAAGTGTCTGTCCTTCGACTTTATTGGCACCAACCCGGACGAATCGTCCGAAGAGACGGGCTCACTCCAGGTACCCACTTCGTGGCGCTCGGTTATCCAAGATCCGGACACGTTGCAGCTGCTTTTTGATTTCTACAAGACGACCAGCCCGCCCAACACGTCCAAGTGTCTCGAAGCGCTCATGCTGTTTGCATCCGTGCGTCGAAACCTCTTTTCGCCGGACAAAGAGCGCAGCGTGTACCTCGCCCACCTGTTGAAAGGAATTTGCGCCGTCTTGCGAGCTCAGGAAGGACTGTCAGACCAGCAAAACTACCACGAGTTCTGCCGCCTGATTGGGCGGTTGAAATCGAACTACCAGCTCTCGGAGCTCATGAAGACCGAGTCTTTCCAGGAGTGGATGGACCTCACGCCCGATTTTACGATCAAGTCTTTCCGGCAGTGGCAGTGGTCTGCAAACTCGACGCACTATTTGCTGGCGTTGTGGGCGCGTCTTGTGGCTGCGTTGCCTTACGTGCGCGCAGACGCCGTGCCGGGCTCTCCGAACTCGGGGGCTATAAACTTCCTGGACACGCGCGTTCCTCAGGTGATTCAGGCCTATTTGCAGTCGCGTCTTGATTCAGCTGAGCAATGCGCTCTTGACGACACGCTGGACAACCCGCTGGATGACGAAGGAGGTCTGTATGAGCAGCTAGAGAAGCTGCCGACGCTGTGCCACTTCAACTACCGCCAGACGGGAGAGTACATCGTATCGGTCTTGGACCCAATTCTGAATCAATACACGGAAGCCTGCAGCATCTTGGACCAAAGCGGAGGGGCAGCGATCCCACCGCAGCAGCAACAACAGCTGCAAAGCATGGAGAACCAGGCAGCCTGGCTTGTCTATGCCATTGGCGCCATTATTGGCGGACAAACGTACTCCTCAACGTCGACGGAGGGCGACGAGCTAGTAGACGCGGACCTGTCCCAACGAGTTTTCCGTGCGATGCAGTTGACTGAGCATCGGATCATCGCGTCAGGCGGCCAGACGAAACCTAGCGTGCACTTTGAGTTATCGTTGCTATACTACTTTAGCAGCTTCCGCAAGAGATACATTGGCGAGCAGCATGGCATGCCATCGGCCTCTACGCCGTCCTCGTCCATGCAGCCTGCGTCGGCCGGGTCGGCCTCCTCGCCTATTATGGCCCCTAGTGAGAGTGCCATGTCCTCTAAGCACAAAGCATACTTGCGCATGTTCGAGCGCCTAGGACTGGGCGACCACACGGTCGTGGTCAACATGATGGTAACGAAAGTTGGCAACAATCTCAAATTTTGGGGGGGGACGGAGGTCATTATTAGCAAGACATTGGTGCTTTTCTTTGAGGTGGCGTCTGGATACTCGTCAGGCAAGCTGCTTCTCGGGCTGGAGACTGTGCAGTATCTCATCGGGAATCACACAGCAGAGGAGTTTCCCTTCCTGGCGGTTCCTGCCAATACACGACACCGAACGACGTTCCACTCGACCATCGCGCGGCTTATTTTCACGACAGCGTTCGATGAGTCTTCAGAGCGGTTCGAACGATTCATGGAGCCCATCGAGAACGTGCTCAACCAGCTCCTGCAGACGCCGAACTACCGTGTGCCGGAGGTTCGCGAGGCTGTAATTGGTGTGTGTCGAGACCTGCGCGGTATTATCCAGCAGACGCACAACCGGCGCACATACAGTTGCATCTTCGACCTGCTCTACCCGGCCTACTTCCCGGTATTCGCTCGTGCCGCCGACGAGTTGTACGACCACCCGGCGGTGACCACAGCTCTGCTCAAGTTCTTGCAGGAGCTGGCATACAATAAAGCTCAGCGTGTGACATTCGACCAGAGCTCCGCCAGCGGTATCTTGCTGTTCCGCGAACTCAGCAGCGTTGTGGTGGCGTATGGACGGCGGATACAACCAGTGCCGGCAGGGAAGAACCCATACGGCGATAAGTATAAGGGCGTGGCGCTGTGTCTGGGTATTTTGTATCGTGCGCTGGGCGGCAGCTACGTGAATTTTGGCGTGTTCCAGCTGTACAACGACAAGTCGTTGGAGAACGCGCTAGAGATCGCGCTGCAGCTTGTCCTATCGATCCCCCACGAGGACTTGATGCACTACCCGAAGGTGAAGAACGCGTACTTTTTCTTTCTGGAGATTTTGTTCCGCAACCAGTTAGCATCCGTGGTGGCGTTGGAGGACGGCATCTTCCGACAGCTCGTGCAGTCGCTGCACGAAGGGATGAACTCGTACGACTTGGCGATTGCTGCTCAGTGTGCGACGGCAGTGGACCACGTAGCGTCGCTGTATTTCCACGAGATGAAGAAGAAGCGCGATACGCCTGTGAAGCACGCTCTTCGTGCACATGTACAAGCGTCGCCCAATATGTGGTCAACACTACTGGCGGCGTTGCTGGACATTCTGGTGTACGGCGAGGCGAATTCGCAGTGGGCGCTTTCTCGACCGATCCTGAGTCTCACACTCTGCAGCGAAGAAGCGCTCACCAACTACCAGCAACAGTTGAGCTCTTCGCAGCCACCCGAGAATCGCGCACAGATCGAGGAGGCGTTTGCTGCCCTGTTCGCAGACGTCCGCCCCAACTTAGAGGCTGCGAATCGCGACAAGTTTACGCAGAGACTCGGCCAGTTCCGCAACACACTGCGCGGCTTCCTCACCATCCAGTAATTTAGTCGGAGTCAACCCATTTTGTCAGCTAGACTTGACTTACAGCACCTGAGCCACCGATGGTGATGCACTTTTGTGACGATGACATGTGGACGGGTAGAATTCGGAGGAGGAGTCATCAACGTAGGGTGATGCGGAGGTGGCTAGGTACTTAGTATTAGGCTGGCGCCTGTGCAAGGCAGAGCGAGCGGCTCTTTGTCATGTCGGAGGGATTCTGAGCGCATTGCTGACGCGAGTGCAGACGCATTAATTGAAAATGCAACTGATAGACTTAACTACGCAAATACAAATCGGAGCACCACGTCACGAACAAGATGCTTTGAGTTTTGTTCTTATGGAACAAGTGGGGTTGCAACGGACAACGCTGGGGAGCTAGATATTGGTTGCTGACTGTCGGAGTGGTTGGCATTCGGTGACGATGACATTATTCCATGCTGGTACGTGATCTGGTTACGACACGATCACTTAGACTGGTAGTATTTCACTTGACTTTATAAAAACTTACCAGGGGCGGCTTCTTCAGCACTAGCGGGTACGTGATCTGGATCTTTAGCAAGAAAGGAAGAATCTTAACTCGGGATACGCATGTACGTAGCTGCCTGCTTACTCACCCAGGACTGGCCCCACGATCGAACTAGCTGCCACTCGACACCAGCTCGCTCGAAACAAAGTCGCTTGTTTATCCTTGTCAGAAGTGCACGCACATACTGCTCGGCCTGCAAAACCCAGCACAACAAAAGTTATACCACCGGACTGATCCCTCGCTCAACACGCAGCATCGTACGTCTCTGATGCAAAAATTGGGACAAAATAGGGAGAGCCCCAGGGTGCATGGGCAGCAGCCGTATCCGCAGCAAATACAGAAGAAACACGGCCAGTAGTCCTGCATCGTGTTGTTTATCTGGTTGATAGCGACTTCAAATTCCGCCTCCTTCACCTGCTCAGCACAAGCCAGATACTCAGTGCAGGCTCCTTTGTCCCGAGTCTAATGTTGTAGCGTACCAAATGACTGAGTTCAGACGGGAATTCGTCCTCATAGGCTTGAGCTACGCCCGTCACGAAGCGCACTCGAGTCGGATAGAGTCGTACCTCACCGTATTTCTTCTCGTCGTCCGTGTGTGCGAAACCTCGGACCATCACGACGGACGCCGCGTTTGAGGAAACATCGTGGAAACTCGTCGCCACCATCGTTCATTCCAAGCAGGAGCGATTTCCTCGCTATCCGCCGATGAGTTCTAACCTAACAGGCCATTACGAGCGACATGAGTTGGATCAAACGGCGCTCTAGCGCGCTTGTCAGCCGCAGATTTCGCCGGATCGCGGCGTTTCGCGTTTTAACGACTTTTACGTAGCTTAAGTGGGATTATAGCAATATATCTGATACCGGTAATACTGTTTCTATGTCGAGTATAAGTCATTGTATTACCCGAATCAGCTTATGATATTATTTGCAGATACCGTCCAGTACGACCTCAGTCGTTGGAATCGTCGCAGAGGAACGACTGTGGTTGTGCAGATTGTGGAGCGGCATAGAGAGCACCACTCGGTGAACGCCGCACCACGGGCCCGTCCTTGCTGCCATGGCGATTCAGTCGAGTCTCCCAGATTTTGCGTGTGAGGTCCGTGCGCCACTCCTGGTTTACGATACTCTCCAGATCAGCATTGCTCAGAAGTCTACCTTCGCTGCGAGAACCTCGAGTTAACCCGGCTCACAACGACGTTCCCTGTAGTGCGAAGCAATTAAACGTACTCCGGTATGCCCCTGCGCAGCTCTTGGGTGGCCCAAGCTGTAAAAGAATCACTAGGGTGTAGCAAGTCTGGGTTCTCTCGGAACGTGTTCACCTTGGTGACGTTATACGTCATCTGCAGGGGTTTCCCAGCGAGCGTTTTCCATTCTGCCAATATCTGCTGCTCGACACGCTTTACGCTAGGGGCTATCTCGTGCTCGCCGTTCTTCATCATTATCACTATCTCCTCTACTAAAAGAAATGACCGTTGTCATAGACCCCCTCCCCCAAATTAGATGAATAGCGAGGTATCGAAAGTGACGTGTCTGTTACAAAAGTCATGGGATTTCGGGGCGACATTTGTAAGCCGAGAAAAGCTAATAACGAAAGTGCTGACACATAAAGCGACATCGTTCTGGTATGTTCTCTTATGCCTGCTAATAACAGTCCTACCCTCATGCAGGTTAGCCACGCACTTTGTCATCAAATGTTGCGCAGCATAGAAGTTTGTTGTTGCAAACTTGACAATCTTGCTGCTGCGTAATCGCGGCACGTGATACAGCAGCTTGCTGGCAATAAATATACTCACCAGTGATGGGCAATAATGCAAAGCAGGTACAGTCTTGAAATTACAGACAACTCCAGCTATAGTGGCGCCGGATATAAGAGAAGTTTGAGTGTAAGAGCGGTAAAGACCAGAGGCTATAATAAAATGAAGTCAATCCGGCTATAAGGTTGTTCGAGTGTAAGAGAGCCCCCCTTGGGGCAATAAGAGAGTGGGCCACGTGACTCATTTTAAAACACGAGCGCAGACAATGGTTTCAGCCCGCCAACACCTCACGGTCTACGAGAAGAACGAGCTGCATCGTCACCATCTCGCCAACCCCAGTCTCAAGCACATCGATCTCCAGCAGTGGGTGGCTACATGTCTCAAGAAGAGGATTGGTGTTTCGACTGTCGGGAAAATTGTAAACCAGCCTCTTGATGCCACACCTAACGGCAATATCAAGAAAAAACGCAAACCGCAGCACGCGGAAATCGAGCCCCAGCTTCTGGACTTTGTCCATAACTAAGAGGAACATGGTCTGCCGTCTGACGACGTTCTACAAGCGAAGGCTAACCAGCTAGTTGGGGAGGAGGTCGTTACGATGTCCTGGATTCAGAGGTTCAAAGCCCGTCATGGCGTTTTCCTGCACATCATGCATGGCGAAGCAGGGTCGGTTGACACTGCGAATCTTGGCCAACAGCGTACGGTTCTAATGGAGCTGCTTAATCAGTACAACCCGCACGACATCTTCAACATGGATGAAACAGCGTTGTTTTATAGGATGCTGCCGAGTCAAACACTAGCGACTAGAGCGATCGCAGGAAGAAAAAAGGACAAAGCAAGAATTAGCATTGGTTTGTGCTGTAACCTTACTGGAACCGAGAAGCTGGAGCCAATTGTGATCAACAGAGCTGCGAAACCGCGGTGCTTTCGAGGGGTTAACATCAATGATATCCCGATTAAATATTTTTCGAGCACCAAAGCATGGATGACGACCAAAGTATTTCTGGAGTGGGTGCGAGCGATAAATCTGAAGATGCACGGACGCAAAATACTTCTGCTTGTAGACAATGCTCCGGGCCATGCAGAAATTGAGCTGAATAACGTTCGCATTCACTTTCTCCCGAAAAAAACGACATCTCACTTACAACCGATGGACGCTGGTATTATTCGAAACTTCAAGCTCAAATACAAAAAGTTGTTTGTGCAGTGGGTCATTGAGCAATACGGCGCCCAAAAGAAGCTGGACTTGCTAACATCAATCAAGCTCGTGGTAGATGCGTGGAGAGCGGTATCGGAAGCGACAATCCGTCGCTGTTGGCGGCACACAAGGATTGTACCAGGAAGCATGGGTGCGAGTGTTGAGCAAGACATCGAGCCTTCCCGCGAGGCAGAGATTGGCGATCTCGACGTGCTTATATCAAGATTGACGTTAGACGATGCAATGAGTGCGTCAAGCTACATTGTCATCGATGATAACATTGAAGAGAGTTTGGACAGCGAAGACGCAAGCTTGGAGTTATTGAGTGATAGCTCCAGTGATGAAGCCGAAGAGACATCATTTTTCACACGCGGAGGCTTTGGCAGCAGCGCAAAAACTACAGGTATTCATGTTTGCTCATGGTTATCAGGGTTACTCAATGCAAAAGGTTGTCGATGTCTGCAGGACGATGGCTATCACCTCGAAGCGCCAGACGTCCATTACCGCTTTTTTTCATGAAACATCGTAGGTTTCGATGACATATAATAGGTTTTCTCTTACAACTGCGAAACATTTATAAGAGAGCTGTCTGAGTCACAGTCCAAACATCTCCACTATAGTCGGAGTTGTCTGTACCGTATTCCTTATGTGATTGGCGACGCTCGATCATTAGCGACAAATTCAGCAGCCAATCAAATTGATTTAAAATTCGTGTCGTCGCGCTTTATGTGCTTGGCGACAGGTATATTTTTGCACACGCTACATAGTTTTTTGCACTTATATTTTATGCTCGGGACCACCTCAAGAATATGACTGTTGCCAATCACATAAGGAATACAGTACTAGTTGAAATGTCGTATTGCTAACACACCCGAGAAGGCTCTCGCTATTCAGCCAGACTGGGTAACAAGAGACAGTACAATTACACCAGAATACACCCGATTAGCATGCCCGAATATGTCAGACTCAGGAAGAGCCGGACACGTCATCAGTTGATGTGTTTTCGGGAGTATACGTATAACCGGAAGCTCGATGTCTGTCGGTTTCGAAACTGAAACCTGCAAGACATTCAGCAGACTGCGCTGGGGAAATATAAAAATCAAGACAAAGTGCAGGGTGAATAACCCGGAGGTAGTGATGTCATCGACATACACAAACAAAAGACCAAATCATTGAAAACTTGTCCAGCTAAATGCACATGCAAAGATCCCGATAGCGTAGATACTGCAACTCCTTCCTACTTAGCGCACTCATAGTAGTAGCACCGGCAAATATCTCGAATGCCATCAGCATGTACATGCCACAATTGTAGCTGTCGACCTGCACTCCAAGATCACTTTCGTACATTCGGACTCGGTACTTTCTTGAGGGGGAGAGTGGTAGCATCGTCACCAATTTATCAGCAAAAGGGCGAGCCTTCACTCCGTCACTGGAATTCATCGGGTCGTAGACTAATACGTCTTTACATGTCAGGTCAATCATAACGGAGCACCAGTGATTCTTGCCGCAGATGATCAGAATCAAAATCTTCTCACCCGTCACACCTACAAACACGCCCTTCATCGTATAGATCGATAAATAGCCATTCATAACGTTCCCCGCGATGGACGTGTCGACTCCAATCGTGTCTACTCTTTCTGCAAACAGCTTCAGCCCTAAAGTGTTAACGGTGCAGTCACCCAAGGGCGACTTGCCAACGAGCTCCAGCGCTTCCGCCTATATTCAAGAAGATGTTATAAACGTTTGTAAAGCCATTGTATCAATAAATGTACGTTAGCTGTACCTGAACGGACAGAAGTGGAATAGACTTCAGCTTAGCAAGTATATCTGGGTCTGGATCAACTCGAAAATGTTCGGGCATCTTCAGAGCGAAATCAATAGTCTCGATCCAGTTTATAGCTTTGTCCACTTGATGTATGCTTTTCATCGCCCTGTGCCACGTTTTGATCACACCCAACGTCTCGGTAGTGTATGTTCCAGCACCGATTACTTCCACCGCAATTTCTTGCTCGTCTAGATTTACACCCGATGAATATTTATGTTTCTTCTGCAGGGCTGAGACTTTGGTGCTGCACTTCTCAATGAAGTCTTTGCGAAATGCACGGGTTATGGATTCCACAGGATATATATTTCTTCACCGGTGGTAAGCTCGCTCTCTCGTAGGCTACTGGAGCCCTGTGCATTTTACTGAACTCATACAGCTTGAATTGCGATAGGGTAGCGGCAGATGTATTGTATGTAGGCACGCCTTCAATAGCATCTCGCACAGTAGCCAGGCTCAAATTCACTGCATACAAGTCTGAGTCCTCCTGGACGATCGTGGCATTCTTCCGACGAGTAGCTTTCTTCGACTTTGCTGTTTGCATTGGGCGCCCGCGGGATCTAGGAGGGCTCGCTACCTGAAATTCATCATTCCCTACTTCTCGAAGCGTCGATGTCAACTCTCGGGTTTTCGATTCAAGATGTTTGCCAGATTGGGTGCCAGACTCGCCAGATTGAGTGCCAGATTAGCCTGACTGGATGCCAGACTCGCCAGACTGGATGCCTGACTCGTCGACTTGGCTGTTCTCAATGGCTGAACTCGCTACAGCTGGCTGGGTAGAAGGATGAGAGTCTGATAGCTGATCGTTTTGTTTTTGACTGGATAAAGTGCCGAAGTCACAATGCTTGAACCGACGAGCAATGTCCTTCAGATACTCCGTCGCTTCTCGGT